TTTTGTCACGGTTCTTAATCTGAACCAAAGTGTCCAAATCTAGACTGTTTCAATGCTGCCATATTTGCCTCGGCTATAATGGCTTGGTCAAGGACATCCACATACTTAAGTAATTTCAAGACATTAATTCAGTCCAGGATTTCCACATTAAGTCCACCCTCAAACTTCCTAGCCTTTTTGTAGTCGGTATCCACCATGTGTGGTGCGTACCAGGTGAGCTCGGTGAACTTAGACTCATATTCAGCTATTGACATGGTGCCCTGCTGTAGTTGTTCAAATTCAGTCACCATACGGTCTTGGACACACTGGGAGAAATACTTTTCGTAGAAAGCTTCTTTAAACTCAAATGGGCAGTCAAGTGTACCGAACAAACTGTCAATGCTTAATCAATGTGAAATGTAATGTTTATCTTTCATGCATTTTTCTGCATTAGTTTTTTATTTGGTTATGAATATGCTGATTTTATAGCTGATCATGCTTATTATTCTTTATGATGGGGGTGGGTGTTATCAGATGCTTTGAAAGAACCTTCCAATTTCTTTAATTGATCTAAAATTTCAATAATTTTCTTAATGGACGAAATCCCTTGGAACAAATGTATCGCTAGGGTGTGGACAATAGAAGATTCATTCGTGAACAATGATGAACATATATCCCTTGGAGCAACCAGGCAAGTAGAAAATTTTAATTTCTTTGAATGAATGCATTTTGTATACCCCCTTCCACGCTTCTAATTTTTCTTGTATTTTCAGAGCAAACTAGATATTGTACTATTGAAGGTCCTAGCTAATAACAATGTCAGTTCATTAAAGGCTTGATTAATTTGTATCTGCACTGACTGTTCATTACATTCCTGCAAAAACATAAAAATGGAAGCATAACTCCTAAACTTTAGTTACCTAGGCCATCTTCAAGAGGGGAAACTCAGTAAGTAACCATATTATACAAACCATCAGAAATTGCGATCCTGAGCTTTTGCGGAGAATAGGCGATGCAACTGCTCTTGAAGTCAGGGCTACTGGGATTCCTTACGTCTTTGCTCCTTGTATTGCAGTAAGTAACCATATTATACAAACCATCAGAAATTGTCATTTATATATGGTGTTTTTAAGCGAATTTCTTTGCTTCCCAAGGTTGCAAGCATTTCATGGAACCTTTTTTTTATAGGTTTGTAGAGACCCTAGATGGGGTCGGTGTTATGAGAGCTATAGTGAAGATCCCAAAATTGTTCGAGAAATGACCGACATTATATTGGGGTTACAAGGAGAAAATCCAAATAGTTCTCTTAAGGGAGTACCCTATGTTGCAGGAAGGTATGGAGTCTATTAAAGTTAAAAATAAGCTCTGTTTTGGGAAATCCAGTAAAGTTATTAACAGTATTCTCCTGATCTTGTTGACTAATAGTAGAAGCCGAAGAATTAATAGGGTGAGCCACTCTGGTTTTCAAATGATATTTATGCTATAAAGCTAACACATTCTTATATCTGATTAGCCAAGAAACTAAGCTACTTTTTCGTTTTGTTTTGTTCTGTAAAGCTAACACATTCTTATATGGTTTAAAATGGTGTAATTCACCATTTTAAACCATATATATATGTATTAGGGAACATATTGTAGGTGTCAGATGCATCTAGTGGGCAACAAGCTTCAAAAGAAAATGAATAGGTATGCCACTCTACTATATTTCTGCATGTATTTATGATATTTGCTGTGTATGAAGTTCTTGAAGGATATCACTATATTTCCCCATGTATTATGTCATATTAGGTCTGAAATTTATCCCTAGAGCATGTCATATGGACCAAATTTGGTACTGCAAATGGGCTTTCTTCAGACTGTAATTTGATTCAATTGCAAATGGGTTTTCTTCAGGGACATCATTTACCTAGAAAGCAAGTAACATGCATATGCATAAAGGGTATATCATTTGCTGTGGAATGAGTTCAGACAATCATTGTCTTGATCCATACATTTTAATGAGTAGTTATAATTATCTGAGTACAGGTTGTCACACAATGGAATTTTAATTTATATCACAATTTTTTTCTTTGTTATGCTAGAATCTTATTCAAAATACGAATGAGATAAGACTGGAGTTATAATCCTTATTTTTTAGGGGCTTGGCTCATCTAAATGACACCTCAAGAGGCCTTGAAAATTTGATTGGGCTGCAGGCCTATGAACCGAATACCGAGAGAGAGCCAAGTTCTGTATGCTGATTGACCCAAAAAATAGTGGCCATATTTACTGAAAATTTGATTCCAAAAGTGATAGCAATAGGCACTATTGTTAGTCTATACAATATTTTAGTGCAGCTGCCTTTATCCCCATCAATGGTAACACAGACTTCTTGCCTAACATGAAATCAAAGCCTTTTGAATTTGTTGCTTTTTAAACTTGGTTGCATCTATAAGTCTTTGTTTAATTGCCACTTGCAGATTGAGTTTAGCTGTGGTGATCCATGACCATCATTTACTATACTAACACTTGTTTCACATTTGGACTTCATAGATTTTACGGCTTAGCTATTATCAAATTTAACATTAAATTTTTTCGATCCATCTAAGTAGCAAAATTCAAATTCCCTTATTGATCAATTACTAGAAGCGGGTCAAATTCAAGAATGATTGTCTTGATGATAGTCATACCAGTAGTTATTTAATTTTTTTTTTCCCTTTTGTTTATTTATTTTTATTTTTTGACAACTCCACTAGTACCTGTCACATGCTAGTAAAATTCTATAGACAAATTTTAGATTAGCCAGATATTTATACATTCTAGCGAAGCTATATACATACCTTGACAGCTGCACATTAGCTTATGTAATTTTAGTTATAGTATGCATTTGAGATTCTACTCTTATGTGCTATATTGACAGGAAGTTCCTTAGCTTTCAGGTTGATAACTTGGAATTTTGAGGGAAATGAGGATCAACCCAATAAAGGTTGGTTTTTTTAATTTGGCAATAGATTACACTAGTAGTTCTATTATACATATTATAGTTCCCGCAATCCCTCTTGTTTCACTTGTTTTTGTTGTGATAACCAGAATTTTGGTTATATTTTCTAGTCTTTCTTATGTTCATCTGACATAGAATAATTATGTGTGTGCTTGCTTACACATGCACATGCACATGCGCTCCAAAAATTAACCCCATGAATCTGGAAGGACTTCTGCTCTCACCTTTATAGTGAAATAATTCATCTTTGTTGCTTGTGACATTTTGGTTGGCATCAATTATAGGTTGCCAAAGCATTAGTGGAAGTGTTTGCTGAAATGATTTTGATGAATATGGGTGCAAGGTGTTATGCCAGTTCATTGATAGAGTGGAGAAACACCCGAGCAAGAAAATTGATGAGAAGATTGGCCAGTTCTAGATTGTATTTTTTTCATAAAAGAACTTTTTTCAAGTTTTTAGTTGTAATAACTTTTACATGTAGCTCAAATTTTGAGACTCAAATAGAATGTTCAATAAAACTATAATGCTATACTGTCTGAATTCTTGTCATTGTTATTCCTAGAGTGCTTAACGCTACACTTTCATTTATTTATTTTTATTTTTATTTTTAATTTTTTGCGACGGTAACAAGATGGTCGCCAAAGATCATGTTAGTGTTTTTCTTTGTTTTTTGCGACGGCAAAATAGCGGTCGCCATAAGTAGTTTAGGTGGTCGCAAATAATTTGCGACCGTTGTTTTGCCGTCGCAAAAAGTATTTGCCACCCCCATATTCGCGACCCCCATTTGCCGTCGCATGAGCCGTCGCAAAAAGTCTTTTGCGACTGTTTTTTATTATTTGCGACGGTTTATAGCGGTCGCAAAAAGTGGTTTTTTTAGTAGTGATGCGAACAAATAGATAATTTAGAAAAATAGGTGAATAATGGATACATAGACAAATAAGTAAGGCTAAAATGCTCTTTCAAATTATAATTGTTCTTTTGATCCCAAAAGAATAGAACTTGAGCCTATTGCTTAAAAAATTTTAGAAATGATCCTTTGGCTTAAGTATCCAATAATATTTAAGTATAACTATCATAATTTTTTTTTATAAGTAATATATTATTTTATCATATGCATATAGCACGAGTCACATATTAGTATTAAAATGATGGAGATGCTTGATAAAACTGAAAAATGAATGCTAAGTTTTTAAATTAAAAAATTGTTTAATAAAAACTTAAGTGCTGAGCTAAAACAAGCTATTTAATATGTATAATATTAAAATTGAAGTTTATTATTTTTAAATTTTATATAGTGATAATGAGTTAGTGATGGTGGTGGAGACAACAATAGTGCTTGTGGCACCAATAATAATGGTGGTGGAGATAGAGAGAAAATAATCGTGCTGGTGATGGAGGGCTAATGTAGTGGGGAAAAAAAGGGACTGATAACACTAATGTAATGATGGTGGTTATTGTGGCGGTGAAATAATATTGGTGGTTATAACAATGGTGGTAATGATTGTGAAGGTGAAGGGTTATAGTAGTTGTTGCAATGGTGGTGATAATAACAATGTCGATTGTAGTGTTGGTAATAAAATTATGGTGATGATTATGGTAACAATGACAATGGTGATTAAGGTAATAGTCATGAGTCATGACGGTATATGTTGATACTTACGTATAAGCATCTATAAATTCAGTTAGAATTAAATAAGTTTTCTATAACTTAATTTTTTTTTAATTTTTAACTTACATTTTAAGAGTCACCTAAATATTTAAGTAATATCATTTGTACTTATTAAACAGACTTAATTAATTTACACTTAATATATTTAAAAGGGGACTTATGTATAGGTCCTAATAGGTGAACTTATTGTCTAATAGGTCCTATGATAATCAATGATATTTTTCATCAAACAATATTAAAAACGTCACTAACTATAAGTTTCAGCGACAATTTGAAAAAATAGTCACAAAAAAGTCATTAATTTTTAAGTTTCAGCGACAACTTGAAAATTTTGTTACAAGAAAACATCACTAATTATAAGTTTTAGTAATAATTTATAAAACCGTGAGAAAAAAAAAATCACTAATTGTTAATTTTTAGCTACATATACAAAAAATCATCACAAAAAATTATTTTTAGCAACGATTTTACTAGGTCTTATTTTCAATAGGACTTAATGAGAATTAAGTCCGGCTATTATGACCTATTGACGGTTTATCCTAATTTTAAATACTTAATTAGATTATCAATCACCACCTAATAGTGCATTAAAAAAAGAGAGACAACATTTCAAAATAGAATATGATAAAAAAAATCATTTCAAAATAGAAAATTATGTGCAAAAGAAAAAAAAGAAAAAAAAAAAGAAAAGAAAAAAAGGACCCAATAATAGTGACCCATTGCTGCCTTGTAGGATGGCCTGTATCTTTGTTTGGGTAAGTAGGATGCCCTATATCCATCTAGGTTTAACATATTTAAAATAAGCAAATTCAATAATAATTGAACTTTGGGTCCATAACAAAAGTCCATAATAGAACTTCTAACAATCAATAACCATGTGGAGAGATGTACTTAGCCCTCATTCATCAATCCATTCTTTATTTTATTTATTTTTATTTTATTTTTTGTTCTTTTAACTTTTTTTAGTTCGTTGTCCTTTGTTAAGGCTGGAAAAGGGGTGTCTTTAAAATGACATTATCCACACATATTTGTTTGCTTCCTACCAAAACCTCTCTCTCACGGAACCTCAATTATGATAGTAACTTTTGAGTGTGATCTAAAGTCCTACAGTTTGGTAGCCCTATTAGAAAGCTACTGTAACCCCTTTGTTTATGCAAATACATTTAATCCAATCAATGTATAATTTCTTGTTCGACTTCAAAATATACATACATATATATATATATATATATATAATTTCTTTTATGCGCTTTACATATTTTTCAAAATAATACCAGATAATTCAATGCGCAAGATTTATGTTAAAATAAAATTATTACGAAATTTGTTAAAGCAGAAGAGTACAATTACAATTTTAATGTTCTGTTCATTTGGCGGAAAACATTATATGAAAAATATTTTTCGTATTTTGTGATATTTGCTATAATGGAATACGAAAGCTAACAGAAAATATTTTTTATGATCAATAAAAAATAAGTCTATTTGAGTAGAAAATGTTTTCTACTTTTAAAATATAAAAAACATTTTCCGGACTAAATTTGTACCAATATCAACACACCACTACCACTACTCTCAGCTCCACCACCACACCACCATTACCACGGTCACCGCCACCATCACCACCACCGTCACCCCACCGCCATGCCACCACTTTCACCTCTACGGCCACCTTTGTTTCAGCACTAGCACCACCAAAAATAGACAACGATTTTTTCTAGAAAATATTTTCTGAGAAAATTTTCTGTAGAAAATATTTTCCATTAGAAAATGTTTTCAACCCAAACAAACACAACATAAGAGTAATTTTGTTCATTTTAGTTCTAAGCAGTGGCAAAGTATAACATTTACAATTTTTCTCAATTTTACAAAAATAACATTTTTAGTTGTTGTAATAAACATTTACAATTTGTCTTTAAATTTTCATGTATTGTATAGCTCATTTTTCTTTCTTTTTTTCCATAAAAATCAGTAAAGAAAAACCTCTAATTAAGTTATCTGTATAAATGGTTTTTCAGAAAAATCTACTTTAATATATTCTCTACCACTCTCTCAATTTTCATGGTGCGGTTCAAGCATTTTTGAATGAATCGAAATTCATATACTTGTTAGTGCAGTGTATTGAGCATTTTAAAGTTATTAGACAAAAATAATTTAAATAAATTAAAAAAATCTTATTATTTAGAAGTTGAGTAAGAGATGTTTTTGATTTCGACTTTCTAATTATCACTTTTTAATATATAATAAATTGCACCAAATATGTTATTTATCCTAGAATTACAGTCGTGTGTCTTCTTTGGATGTCATGAATCGGCATCAAGTTTGACAAAGAATGATCCATCTTAAAATTCCTCTCATTTCAAGCTATTTTTATTTCTCTTAAAATAAATTTCTAGCTCTGCCTTCCAAGACATCACAATTTAGAAGTTAGATCAGATTGATATGAAACACAACAAAACCAGAACCTCAACACAAGCAGGCCATAAAGGAGCATCTGCATCTTCAAGAGGTAAAGAAAAAAACTATATCGGTTGTAAAGTGAGAACTCTCA